AATTCAAGATGAATAAAGGACATTGTTATTTACACCTGCCCCCTACTCCATCACGCACGCACGTCCCACCCATCACTACCTCCTACTTCTATTCCCAACCTCCAAGTAGCTGACCCCATCGTCCTCCTCCAACCTGCACACCACTCGTCCCACCCATCACAATACCCTCTTCTTCTTCCTCATTACATCTACACCGCTTTCATGTTACATGAAAGCGGTGTAGATGCAGTGGTGATCTCTGTCTTAAAGTTTTATGGATCTCTACGCGCCTACGTAAGTCTACGGATCTCTCAATAAACTAAGAAGTCTTCATGTAAGTCTATGTATCTCTCTATTTTAGTCCACAAATCACAATGCAACCGTGGATCACACGGTATGTCACAGCCCGATTCAATCAATCACCGGAAGCATTTCAGATATTCGGTGTGCTACTTCTGAAGCCATCCACTGTTTACCGACTCGCTAACCTCGACACGGAGATACTAACGTTGCTGATAGACTCCCGGCCATACAAAACAGCATAAGAATACCACTTCGCATTACAGACAACCTATGTTCAGTCAACAACATTTAAACATTTCATCACAATCGCATTTTGTCAGTGTGCCAAGGTACAAAAAAATATATAATAGTGTCTCTAAGTGGTTCAATATTGACAATGCCTCTTGGGAATTGATTTTGTGAAAGACTGAAATAGCTTGGGTGAGCGGGTGGGTGGACAAAATAAAACTGACAAAAAATAGATGGATTTTTTTTACTTCTTAGTGTGAAGATAAAATGCGCAAAAGTAACTTAAATCCCAGCGGCAAACACCGTGTAATCCAGAGACATGAAAAGGCCAAAATCAGCAGGAATCGTCTGAACCAACACAGTCAAACACGATCATAATACTGGTAGGAACCTCCTGTTTACACCAGCCCACAGGGGATTATTGTGTCCGTCCGTATGTCGTGCATCCAAAAATGGGAGGGGTGGGGCTGGGTGGAGAGGGGAGGGTGGGGAGGGGCTGGGTGGGGAGGGGAGGGTGGGGAGGGGCTGGGTGGGGAGGGTGGGGCTGGGTGGGGCTGGGTGGGGGGTGGGAGGGGTGGGGCTGGGTGGGGAGGGGCTGGGTGGGGAGGGGCTGGTCACCCCGTGGTGCCCTTATAAAACTCAACATTTAACCTACTCACGCCGGCTTGTGCCCGCCCTCACAGTCGGGCATATTTGCGGAATACACCACGTGGTGCCGCCGTTGACCCTGGCCATTGACCGAGCAACCCAACGTTACTACCAGCTCCCTCCACAGGAATGTGTTTGTGTCTGACTGTATCGCCACCGTGGGAGGACCACGGTGGCTAGATGTTAACCACCTCGCCTGGTATACAGGAGGTCGTGGGTTCGATCCCAACACTGACAATGCCTGCTGTATACTTGGAGTTTGCGTGTTTCTCTCCGTGGTCACGTGGATTTTTCTCCAGGTCCTCCGGTTTTTCCCTCGACATTTAGAAACCTGCGTTTAGAGTATTTGTCTGCTCTACAATTCCACATGATGATGAGCCGCTTCGTTGAGCTATCATTTGTGGCCAGGTCATGTAGCTCTGTGGGCCTTACCTGGTAAAATAAAAAAAATTGTTTATAAATTATTTTTTGGGTTAGGCTACATGATGATTTTGTCAAACCTGTGTCGTAAGACCCTCCACCACCCGACATTATATGTTATACACGCTTATTTACCCGGGAAAGCCTCACTGAGTCTCAAGACTCTTTTTAGTGGAGGGTCCTGCCAAGTTTTCGCAGTAGCGGCAAGGCGTGGCTGCTGTGTGTAATCCCAATTAAGTAATGTGCAGGTAACGGGATGTTAATGGGCCAACTATGTTTTTTAATTAAATTTTGGAAGGAAGGAAATCGGAGAACCCGGAAGAAACCCATGCACTCATTGCACACACAAATTGCTCACCACCAATGAACCACAACACCTCGCTGATCTCGTGAAGGACCATGAACCACCGTCATCAGGCAAACTCCGGTGGCCATCCTCGCAGCGGATTTTGCCTGCTGGCCATCGAACAAAGTCGGTCGCCGCACCGAGCGCGTTCAGATGCGCTTCTGCGGCCGTCTGGAACGCTCTTCCTTCCGATATTAGGAAAAACATTGGAGCTATGCACTTTTAAATAATCAAGATTGACAAACGAATTTCTTTAGAACAAGTTTTTTTTGCGTTTAGTTTCTTGTCCTTCTCCCACACCTGCGATATTTAGCACGGTTGGCTGCGGACGGTGCGAAAGAAGTTCAACATGGTATACAGGGGATCGTGGGTTCGATCCTGACCCTGACGCCTCAATGTTCGAAGTTTGCATGTTCTCCCCGTGGTTGTGTGGATTTTTCTCGGGGTTCTCCGGATTTTCCCTCCACATTTAGACTCGACGTGCATTTAGAGCAATGGTTCTTTAACCTTTACTGCAGCCTTACACGCCTTTGGTTCACAATCGTAAAAAAAAAATACGTTCATAAACACATTGGTTTGATGAAACAAAGTAGTTGTACTTACTGTACGTGCTTAATTTGCGTTTCGATTATTTACCTTCTAAAAAATATCTGGCCACGTCTCGCACCCCCAGAAAAGGCACCTCGCACCCCCAGGAGGTGCGTGATGCACCCCAGGATAAGAACGACTGGAGTATTTGGCTGCTGCAAATTTCCACGTGATAAGCCACTTCGTCGAGCTCTAATTTGTGATAGCCAGGTCGCTTCTGAAACAGAGCTACATGGCTCAGTGGGCATCACGTGGTGAAATTTAAAAAAATAGTACTTGCAGAAAAGCGGGAGAACATACAAACTCGACGCTGAGATGCGCCCGAGTCGGGAATCGAACCCAGGTCCTTCTCGCCATCAGGCACGAGTGTTACTCGTTGCCACCCAGCCACCTATAAAAGCCAAACAAGTTTAAGTTGCCACGTGTGCGGGCGTTGAGCAACGGGGTCAACTTATCATTGTTTCACAGCTCACGCCGGTCAGCTGAAGAACGATTCTCACCCACAAATATCGCAACGATCAGTTACGCGTTTTTTTAGTTTTTGCTGGAAACTGCTTCAAGAGGACATGAAGATGCACAAAGCAACAATTAATTTTAAAATATATGTAGAGTATATCATTCATTATCCGATGGCTTCGGGGGCACTGGATTTTCAAAAACGCCGGATAATCATTAATCATTACCGTATTTTCCCGCATATAGCCCGCATACGCATATAACCCACAGACGCATATACCCCGCAAAAATAGCGTTTTGTGTAAAACAAATTTCAGATAGCCCACACCTCCAAATACCCCGCATGCATTCATATCTTTAACGTTGTTACTACAGCTTAATAACCATCATATTAAAATCATAACGTGCACAAAGAAAACAAACTAACCGGAAACGAGTGAACTTAAAACAGTAAATAAGTAACAAAAGTAAATATCCAATAAATAAGTAACAGATAACTGGTAGATAAGTAAGTACAGTTGTAGCACTGGTGGACTGCGCAATGCGCAGACAATAGTGGCACTACGGTGACGCCGTTGCCTCGCCCCCAACCCCCCACCTCTCTCCCCCAGCTCTCGCCACTTCAAACATTATCGTTTCATTGTACAAACAATTCGAATAATTTAAAACGTGATAACACGTGCAATTTTAGTGTCAGTGGTTTATTCAGCAGTGCTTTAGTCAAAGGGAAGTGTTGGATAGTGGATAGTCCTACCATGAAAACATTAAACGTGTAAAATATTTTTGGGATAACCCGCACCTCCATATACCCCGCAGGGTCTTGTTTTGTTTGTAAAAAGTGGTATACCCCGTGGGTTATATGCGGGAAAATACGGTATTTAAAATAGGTTATTTTTGCACATTGTTGAATAACATAATGCTTTTAGGTGTTGTGTGTATATTATTTTAGTGTTCTACATTTGTTTACTATGTGAAATGGCCATAAATAAACATACAAATAGACAAACGTAAATATCCTGCTGTTAATAAAACTCTGCATGGGGTGATGTACGTAGTCCTACGCTCTTGTTACAACAGCATGATGTCTTTGACGAACGCCGGTCTGCTACAGCCTTTGGAGTGGTTTTGCCGGTTTCGCTTGGTCGGTCTGGGACCGCCGGAAAATGTTGGAAGCCGAATAATCGTGCGCCGGATAATTCATGATCAACTTCATCGATATCAGCTGCACGAGTTGTTTGAACGTATCGACCGAACTACGGTGGAAGTCCTTTCGGGCGCGCTTCCTCCGTTGGCAGCGGCTCCCATTCGGAAGGTTTCCAGTTCAATTCCTGGTTGGGGGTTGACTCAGCCTAATCATCAATGAGCGAGCAGAAATTGGGTGATCCCCGGCGATTCACCATTGCCACTGCTTGTCGTGCTGTCGCAGTGAATTCGAATCCGCTTCTACCGAATCTGGGCCTGAGCATGGCGGAGAGCCAGATGAATCGCTCCAGGAGATTGACGCTCCCCATCCGTGTGCGATGGCCACCTGCCCAGAAGCGAAATGCCCTGGAGGTAAGCACGCCACCCCCAACGAGCTTGCATCGGCCTCGAGAATGAGGCCTGGGGACTTATGGGTAGTGGGCGGGGGAAGTGAGATGGCAGGACTGGGCACTTAGGCCCTGCTTAAAAACTCACTCTGTATCAAGTACCGTGGCCTGAACGGGAATTGCTTCTAGTTAAGACTACTTGGCAACCAGTGGATGGCGACATAGACGATGGAAAAAAAAAGGTGAGCCCAGACAAAACCCCACAAGTGCGAGGGGGTAACACTCTATCCCGTACAAATGGAACAGATGGAGACTAGGCCACACTTGCTCCTGCGGAACTAGAGTATCTGCACCTCCTCCATTGCCCATGGGAAGGGCGTGTCGCAACATTTGTGCGACCCGCCAACCCTCGCCGCCTCCACAGTTGCCGGATAGACAGGCCACGCGCGTAGTCACCACGATGAAGACGGCGACGATGAGCCATCGTCGTTGAACCTCCTCACCTCATGGTGTAGAGCAGGGTCCCGTCCATTGCGATGCGGAGGAGCTTGTTGGGAGTGGTCATGTTGTGAGCCACCGACTTCTTGCCGTTGTGGAAGAAGGTGTCCGGAGTCCAGATCTTGCTGGCCATCATGTTGTTGAGCGGCAGCGTCTGCATGGCACCCTCATACTTCAGCCGCTCGTCCTTCCAGCTCTGCCTGAAGAACATGTCAATGGTGTATTCCTGTGTGCGGGCAGAGATAAGGGGGTGAGGGAGGACAGAGAGGGATGATGATGCCGCCGCTGCTGCTACGCGAACACCATTTCGTGAGCACATCACGCTCAAACTCGATTTGGCGCTTTCGTGACTGCAGGAATTGCTCTTTGTTTTTTTTCGGTAAAGTCACGTAGAAATAAGAAAAAATAAAATTACGTAATAGCATACGACGTTTCGATTGCAACACAAGCAATCATCATCAGGTAGAGGAAACACATAACCGCAGATATATATACAGACCCTATGTTAATTCCCTCTACGTAGGGTCTGTATATATATCTGCGGTTATGTGTTTCCTCTACCTGATGATTGCTTGTGTTGCAATCGAAACGTCGTATGCTATTATGTAATTTTTTTTTATTTCTACGTGACTTTACCGAAAAAAAACAAAGAGCACATCACGCTCATTCTCTTGTCCTTGCATTGGCTACCAAATTAAATATCGAATTGATTATAAGGTGCTGCTATTGACCTACAAGGCTGCCACAATGGGTTACCCCTATATTACTTACAGGAACTGATCCGTATATATACACCACCAATGAGGTCCATATCGTTTTTAGTATTCCGAGCGTCAAGGCTCCGTTCCGGGGGGTGATGGGGCTTTTTGCATTGCCTCTGACAATAAGACAGAATCTTTAGAGCTATTTAAATCTGCTCTGAACACTCACCTCTTTAAAAATGGCCTTTCCCCCCAGTTTTGGTCGTTTCACTGCTGTCTCTGTCTTATTTCCCTGCTTTCCATACACGGCTCATTGGGATCCTTGGATGAAACCAGTCTCACAAATGTTAATTGTTATTATTAATTAGATTCAACGCTCGCGGTTCAGCTCAAGGTGCCACCCTGGTTCTTAGCGTGCGCGTATGAACATCAACAACAAAAGTTCGCTCCGTCCGCCTGGTGGCGATACGTTCAAGATCCCTGTGAAAGTCGTTTGCCAGAATCGGCCATTTGTGTCCCCGGCATCATCGTACAAATTTGCTCAACTTGAAAAACTACCTGCAAATTATTCAATAAGGATCATTTGGAGCAATCGTTGCTGAAACCCCCTCCGCCACTGTGATACCTTGGCAGGACCCTGCTGAAATAGAGAGTAATGAGTGAGACTTCCTGAGAAAATACGAGTAGGGTCGACCCCGTTAAAGGAATGTGGAATTGCCACCACTGGTTCAGAGTTGTAAACAGGAGAATAAATGTTGTGAACAAACTATTTACGCATGGCTGTGCAGCATTATGGACAATAACAAATATTTGTATTTTAGTGTGTATGTATGTGTTTACCCATTATCCTCCACAATAACAATGGATGTGGACAATATTGCTTCTTGTGTTGCACAGGGCCTCATAGTTTACATGCGATTCTCTCGCCATTAACATCTGGTAACCCAGCGGCATTTAACGAGCATGCCTCTCCTGATGAGACCCAGAAGGTCGAAACCGGTGCAGATTTTGCTTGAGTCAACAGGAGGCTCTGCGGAAGAGCGAAAGGCTCGCAATCAGAAGGTTGCAAGTTCAAATCCCGGTTGGGGGTTGACTCAGCCCATCATCCCTCCGAGGGAAATCAAATGAGTACCCCTCGTGGGGAAGTTAACAGCCATTGCCCTATGTATATATTTTCACGACTAGCTCAGGGCTGTAAACAAGATATGGGCACCAACGCATCAATCGATCACGTTCAATATGAGTGCTGATGCAATATATTCCCTAGCTGCAGAGGATCAACACTGATCGGTCATGTAACTCATTATATTGTCCAAAGGTGACACGGAATAATAATAAAAATAATGTCCATTTATCGCATTTCATATTCGCACCATTCTCACGAAGGAAAGCGTCGCTGCTGCTACGTCTCACAGACGTAGCCTGCAAGTCCACTGGGAACCGGACGTGGAATCGTATTTCAAGGTGAATACGCCGGCAAGTAATAACGGAGGCGGGGGGGGGGGGGACCTGCCAGATCCGATACCTCCACTCCGGCCGAGTCGGCGTGAAACTGCCCCAAGCCACGCGAGTGCCTGCGCCCTAACGCACCGCTGCGTGGCAGTGTGGTGACCCCAGTAGCGTACATCTGTAGTGATTCAATCACAAACGAAAATACCCAGCCGACGTTATGGACACGACGTGCATTATGACACAGACAGTCAAGGAAGTAAAACGAAGCCCTCTGATTGTAACTTAATGGGGCCTGCAGGGGGAGTGGTTAGATGCAGGGAATTGAAGGGATTGGAGAAATACAACATGGAACGAGCGGGAAATTGAGGATGATTGACAGGGAGGACGGTTGGTATCCTTTAGGAAAAGTGAAAGGTGATTGGATGGGGGTAAAGCAGGTACAGGAAAGGGGCATGAGGGATATATAAAGGGGAAGCGAGAGAGTTCGGCACACTTAGAGTGAAGGGAATCCTTGAAGACCCGTGTGTCTCGTGCTGGAAGAAATAAAGACTCCTATTGTTGAATATTTTTGTGTGGGGTGGTACTACACATTTGTTAGCCAGTGATTACACTGTGAAACAATAAGGCCTTTCGAGGCAAGCTATTCCCGAGACAAATGTTGCTCGGATGAGCAGCAATGGTCTCCCCTTGCTCTGGCTGTCAAAAAATGGAAATAATTGCCCTGCCGATGATGAACAAATAATTTATATTTTTCACCCGGGCAACGCCGGGTACTTCCCGCTAGTAATATATATTTTTCTCTCGATGTGCATTATTTTCCCTTTTTCTGTGAGGTGCTCATTGAACCGTATGTCTTTCATTTTTCTCCTGACAGCATTCATTGGTTTGGATATCCAGCCTGGGGCATTTGAACCTAAGTCTGAAAGTCTTTGTGATGGACCACAGAAGAGAAGGAACTGGGATTTGTAATGCCCTCTTGTACAAAGCGATGATGCACTTCCACAATGAATGATGTGGTGATAGAAGGGTTGTAATAGTGTATCGATTAAGATCAATCCTTAAGATGGCTGGGTGGCTCCGAGGGCAGAAGCCCTGGGCCAGGACTGCCGAGAGCCTTGAACATTTGAGCCACCTCTGTGGGCACCGCAGTGGCGAGGAGATGTTAACTACCTCGCCTGGTATACAGGAGGTCGTGGATTCGATTCCGACTCTGATGCCTGCTGTATATTTGGAGTTTGCGTGTTTCTCTCTCTGTGGTGAGATGTTAAATACCTCGCCTGGTATACAGGAGGTCGTGGATTTGATCCCAACTCTGACGCCTGCTGTATTTGTGGAGTTTGCGTGTCTCTCTCTCCGTAGTCACGTGGATTTATTATTATTTTGCTGCGATACATTTCCACATGATAAGCCACTTCATTGAGCTATCACTTGTGGACAGGTCGCTTCTGAAAAACACCGACATAGCTCAGTGGGGCTTACCTGGTAAAATAATAATAGTTTACAGTTTAGTTTAGTTTAAGCTGGGTTCTCAAGTGCAGTGAGTTGATGGCCTCAGCCTGGTCACCAATGACTGCAGAAATAAACTCGGGTTGTCGAAACCTTTTTTGTGTTATTGGCAAACGCCTGAAAAACCGAGAGTAAATATGAGAAACGCACACTAGAGTGAGGTCACCGGTTCAATTCCTTCTCCTGGTGCGGCAGTTGAAAATACAATGGTGCAGCATTCTTAATTCCCTCCGCGCCTGTCCACGCACCAGTATAAAAATTGGGTACAGCGCAGCGAGTCGATCGGCAGGTCACGCCGTGTTGGTGGGGTAAAGCGTGGGTCAGTCCCACCTCTTCCAAGACATCTGGCCAGTGTAGAACAGCAGACTAAACGCCCTCTTGAGGGGCTCTCTAGAGCCCCCTTGAGTGGTGGCATGCCACCACTTCTGCATCAAAGCAGCCTCACTCCACGCCACAAATACAAATGAAGGCGAGAGATGGAAGCGGAAGCGAGAGTCTGGACTGCGGCCGACGTCAAAAATAAACGTCTCGTACAGGACCCTACCGTCGAACCTCTGGGTTTCATCCTTCCACTCCGCCAATGGTCGACCATCAACCGAATCAGGACCAGGGGGCATGGCCGTTGTGGCCATCTGATGCACAAATGGCGCTTTAAAGATTCAGCCGCCTGCGAGTGCGGCCACGAATCCCGAACCATCGACCGCATCGTAAACACTCCGCTGCTGCGGTGTTCACCAAGGAGGCATGGACGAGATCCACTCTGCTTCTGAAGAGACAATCGAGTGGAAAACAACATCTAAAATTACATCTTTAAACGGCCGCTATTAATCCACACGAAAGAAGAAGTGTCAGCAACTTCCGCCAGAAGTGGCGTTAGCAAAAGCAATTGCAAGGGTGCGCCTTGATCCTATGTACCCCTTTTACACAGTCACCACAACGGAAATAGACTACGGAATTCCTCAGTTGAATCGCAGCCATGACAATTCATGCCACTTCGCCAAAACGTAACGTGCACGACAACAACAATAAAAATAATAACGTGGTCGAGTGGCTACGCAAGTACGACTTAGCAACACACAGACATGTGCTGCTGCATATATTATCTTAACGTCATTTATATCGTGCCTTAACCAAGGCGCTTTAGAAACAACTAACAACGGTACAACAACAACAACAACGCGTGTGTGAATGTAATGGTGGAGATGCGATGAATGAAGAGAAATTGATGACAGAAAATGATGATGATGATGGGTAGAATGAACGGGGTGAATGAGTGATAGCCGTGTTAAGAGAATATGAAGAGGGAACAGCAACGGTGGTGGCGGTTATGAGTGGGAGATTAAAGGGGGGGGGGGGGGTCGTGAGGTGAGTTAGGGGTAACAATAAGTGAGTTGTGAGTGAGCAGCGGAAATTTAAGTGAGCGAAGGTGGAGGGGGTGAGAAGAGAGAGAGAGAGAGCGTCACGGGCAGAGTTTGACTTCTATATTGGGTGGGGGAGGGTTCGCTTTGTCCGTCACATTAGGAATCGTGGGTGCATATAATTAATACATTTATTTTTATCTCAATTGTAAACTACTGAAAATAAATTAATAAGGGTGTCCAGTTTGTGCGGTAGGGTGGGCACTGCCCCCTCGTACCCCCCCCCACCCCCCCCACAAACTCCGGGGATGAAGAGAGCAGTCAAGGATGGCATTGCACACGATTGGATGGTGTGGGCTGCGCCATGCCCGGACGCCTTTGTATCCCCCGTGATGATTCTTGTACACACGGCACCAGGCACTCAGTCCAGATTGAGTCGACCGAAGGGAAGGCGCAGCACTGGTTCAGATATATGCCACTGATGTTGGCTGCTTCAATAATACCCACACACACTGCTTCAATAATACCCACACACACACTGCTTCAATAATACACACACACACACACTGCTTCAATAATACCCACACACACACTGCTTCAATAATACCCACACACACTGCTTCCATAATACCCACACACACACTGCTTCAATAATACCCACACACACACACACTGCTTCAATAATACCCACACATACACTGCTTCAATAATACCCACACACACACACTGCTTCAATAATACCCACACACACACACTGCTTCAATAATACACACACACACACTGCTTCAATAATACCCACACACACACACTGCTTCAATAATACCCACACACACACTGCTTCAATAATACACACACACACTGCTTCAATAATACACACACACACTGCTTCAATAATACCCACACACACACACACTGCTTCAATAATACCCACACACACACTGCTTCAATAATACCCACACACACTGCTTCAATAACACACACACACACACACTGCTTCAATAATACACACACACACTGCTTCAATAATACCCACACACACACACTGCTTCAATAATACCCACCCACACACACTGCTTCAATAATACCCACACACACTGCTTCAATAACACACACACACACACTGCTTCAATAATACCCACCCACACACACTGCTTCAATAATACCCACACACACACACACTGCTTCAATAATACACACACACACACACACTGCTTCAATAATACACACACACACTGCTTCAATAATACACACACACACACACTGCTTCAATAATACACACACACACTGCTTCAATAATACACACATACACACTGCTTCAATAATACACACACACACTGCTTCAATAATACCCACACACACACTGCTTCAATAATACCCACACACACACACTGCTTCAATAATACCCACACACACTGCTTCAATAATACCCACACACACACACTGCTTCAATAATACCCACCCACACACACTGCTTCAATAATGCCCACACACACTGCTTCAATAATACACACACATACACACTGCTTCAATAATACACACACACACACTGCTTCAATAATACCCACACACACACAGTTAAACTAAACAGGACCAAGTACTGATGTCCTGATAAACACTCTATTTTATCACTACACACCGCACATCTTTGCACTGCATATATAATCTTCATCACTGCACAATCTGCCTCTAAGTTGTCGCAAAGGTAAGGGGGCAGCCTTTCAATTGTTTGCTAAAACACCATTGGTGGCAGAAGGGCTTCCACTTCAGAGGGATCGATGGAGGGCTCCTCTAAGGGGTATTTGGTCTACTCTTCCATGCAATATGGGTGGACAGAGGTAGTGGGCTGGGGGGGGGCATGCAGAAACTTGCACCGATATTTTAACCGTCTCACCGGGAGATGGAATTTAATCGGGTGATCACTGTATGGTAAGTCCAATGTGCTGACTGTTACACCACCGTGAACAGCTTCCTAACATACCGCTTCAACCTCGTCACAACTCTAACGGGGGTTTTAGTTTCTCGTTGGCGGTTAATCAGAACATCACTTACCATTTCTGTGTCGGACACGGGGCCGAAGCTGGTCACGAAGATGTCAGTCTGTACCTCCGTGATGGATTCTGTGAAGAAGAAGAAGGAGACATTTTATTCGGAATCTCCAGTGGTCTTTTCTGCTCAGTGTGCACATCATACGGTGTTCCGTAGCAACAACAACACGCTCTTGTAAAACCCAGCCCCACTTTACACTGGCCGTGTTTGCAATTCCATTAACGCTGAACGGCTTTAACGGGGAATAAAAACGCTGACCACTGCACTCTGCGCCGCCACTGTGCTCCGTGACGATTGCGGCCAGACATCGCCATCAACCCAACGGAACTGGCCGAGGATGTTGATGATGATGATTTTCTTAAGACATATTACCCAGCTATGATGGTCTAATTGGCAAATTTGCAAGGCGGCACATTTTTGGGTGACCGATGAAGGCGTCCGTGAAAATTAATTCCCCGCAAATTGCAGCGCGCGTGCACACACAAAGTGGACGCTTGAAAATGTCTATAGCCTGAAACACAAAAGAAAGTGGTGCTGCACAAATTAGTGATTGTTCAGTTAATAGCCCATTGCTCTCAAGGGAACATACGGAACACAGGCAACATTATTTTGCTTCCTGTATTCTCTACAATGACGCTTACGATTTATTTTGTGCTATGCAGTGTACCGTGTTTTTTTTTCTCCCCAAATCACACCTGGTGTGCCAAGTCTCACAGAAAGCGGCTCGTTGTTATCTAGCTGGGATGAATATAGCCACTCTCTGCGGCAATCAAAACCAACACTGGCCAAACCCTTTCATGTGACGCCGCATTCAGTGGATTATTAGATGCACCGGAGAGTAAGACGCATCCCAACTGACTTCGCTGATGAGACATTGAAGGTGGAAACCCGGTCCGGAGCCTTGCTTGTGTTGAACCGAGGCAGCTGAAATGATGCACTCCCAGGAGGCCGTGTGGGTGATGGCTTGTGTCAAAAGCGGACTGTAAAGCTTATTAATTGTGTTACGTACATTCTCCGCAATGACGCTGATGGTTTCGTACCTTGGTAAAAAAAACTTTGTGTTTTTTTACAGTCTGTCCGCCGTCCACTGGAAACTTCGCTATTCATAACGAGCTCGCAATAATTTCACAGCTTGTAACTTAACTGGAGGAGAGGTCCACCCACTGCTTATTAGGGCAGGAGGCATGCTGAAAACAAGCTAAAGTATCCAACCCGTAACGCCCGGCAAAACGTACGCTGCCCAACCAGATGACTTCCAACGAAAACGTCGGATGCCCTGCTGACCCACGAAGTCGCCACCGCTGTGGCGGAGCGAGCCCTCGACACCTAGGAGTATGAGCTGTCGATATAACTGCTCAACCAGAGCTTTGAATACTTTTGACACTCGCATTGCCTTTGCGCTGCTCGCCTTTCAGCGGGCTCTAGTCCGGCACTGGTGGGACAGGCCCACGTGGGATGTCTCTCTGGTGGCGGCCAATTGGTTTCATGACAATGCGTATCTTGGCAGAGCAAGTTTGTTTGCATGTTTTGCCACAAGTATGTGTGGTCGATGCACACTTGATGCCTTGCATTAGGTATCTGTTTGGTGTTTGAACATGTTAACACATCCTGTTTCATTGCCAGGAAGGGTAAAGCCTGTTCTTATTTGGTTTACCTCATTGCTTTGAAGTCCGAAATGGATATGGAGAGCCGATTTTCAAAAGATGATTATGAATGTGCTGCTCTACAATGGGGAGCGATGTCTGCTGGAAGTTGATTCTTCAAGGTTGGCGGTGTCTTCGGTCCTCTGGGTGGTCATCCGTTGCCATGGAGATCCGTCTTCAGGAAGATGATTCAATGAGATTAAAGCAATGGTATCGGTTAATGTGCGAGGAGGGGCCGCTGGGTGGATTATAAGATCACAGGATTGTGAGAGGTTGCGGTGCCTTGGAGGGAAGGGTCCTTCACCCAGGAGTAAATTGACCATGGATGACGATGCTGAGATTAAAGCGTGCTTTCCAGAAATAAAATTGATCTGCGGGTCATAAGACGCATTGCCCATTTATTTTTAAATGCTGTGGGGAAAATACCATGCTTCATAATAAATCTGGAGAATACTGTAATAGTTTTTTTATTTTCTCGGCTTGTATATCTCTCTCTCTCTCTGACACTCGCATGCATTCGCTTGGCAACGGAACAATGCAGTTTTCAGCCAGCACAGCATTCCGTTATTCACGCTGTAGGCCATGTCGTCTTCAGGGACAGACACGTCACGCTCAACAATCTCCTGCTGCTACTGCTGCTACTGCAGCATTGCATGTGAACAGGGTTCATTCAGAGTGCTGGAAACAGCTGTGGTTTTGTTTTCTGCCCAATGCGTGTACACATCACAGACGAGGAGGTGCGTCGTTCCAGATGGACGTGGCCGGGTGGCTCTGGGGGGTAATACCACGTCAGTGCACAGAGCCGTTGAGACCCTGGGTTATAATACAGGTTACAGCTGCCCATAAATTTATCTGGATTCTCGAGTGGAGCTCGTGGATGATTTCAGCACCTATGACTGCAACAAAAAAACACCCTTAATACTGATAGGAACCTCCTGGTTACACCAGCCCACAGGGGATTATTGTGTCTGTCCGTCCGTCGTGTATCCAAAAATGGGAGGGGTGGGGCTGGGTGGAGAGGGGAGGGTGGGGAGGGGCTGGGTGGGGAGGGTGGGGCCTGGTGGGGAGGGGAGGGTGGGGTGTGGTGGGGTGGGGAGGGGCTGGGTGGGGAGGGGCTGGGTGGGGAGGGGCTGAGTGGGGAGGGTGGGGCTGGATGGGGAGGGGAGGGTGGGGTGAGGAGGGGCTGGGTGAGGAGGGGAGGGTGGGGAGGGGCTGCGTGGGGGGTGGGAGGGGTGGGGCTGGGTGGGGAGGGGCTGGTCACCCCGTGGTGCCCTTATAAAACTCAACGTTTAACCTACTCACGCCGGCTTGTGCCCGCCCTCACAGTCGGGCATATTTGCGGAATACACCACGTGGTGCCGCCGTTGACCCTGGCCATTGACCGAGCAACCCAACGTTCCTACCAGCTCCCTCCGCAGGAGAATGTGTTATACACACACAAATAATTTGCATTGTTTTGGAAAGTATAAGTAACAAAATAAAAACGCTTACAAATCGTCTTCTGCATAAATCCGTGCCTCCACATAAAAAAGAAATTCGTGCTTGTTTACACATCCCATCAGCCATCACGGCCTTTGGGGCATCCATAAATTCGGCAGCACTGGTTCAACACAAGCAACACTCCGAACCAGTTTCAACGTCCGGTGTCTCGTCAGCAGACGGAACACGAGGGGAGTAGCCAATCGGATGGGAGGGAGACCAAGTGGGTGGGCGGCACGGACGAGCAACAAAAACGTTTCCCCCCCCCCCCCGAACTACCAAAACGTACTTATTCTACGTTCCATGCCTCTTGCCCACTGGTCCAATGTTAGTCCTAACATTTAGCAACGATACCTCAAGCCAGTGCCCAGAGGAAGGAAAGGCCGCTCGCTTAAAACAGCAGCAGCAGCAGCAGACGGAAGCGCTTCTACCGCAGCAGGCGTCCTGCGAAGCCAAGGTGCGCGGCCTCTATGCGACACTACGCACACTCGTCCCTCGGTGGACGTTTTTAATCCGTTCAACAAAAACTACCGGTAACCGAAATAACTGTTTATCGAATTCACTTGTAAATTTAAAAATAAGTCTGCAAAAGAGCCGTTTCCACTGCCAAAAACAGAAAACCGAAATTGGCGCCCGCCTCCATAACGTCAACGTACCGCGAATCAAATTTTTTACTTTAGTGGAAACCATGGGGGTCCTATGGGAGGTGAAACGTTAACCGAAAAACCGTTATCCGATGATGAATTTCTTTTGCACCGTACGTAGCCAACCGGAGGTGACGCTTTACCAAACGTGTGCGGCGACTTAGATGCCCGCCACCCTGCAAACGACTTCCCACGGCACGTTGCGTGCCCTGGCCCGTGATGTCGCTCCGGTGGAATGAGCTCTCAACCCCGCCTCTGTGCGGGAGTCCTACTTTGCCAGCATGTAGCAGTGCCTAATGCACACGGAAAATTCAGAACTTTGAGGCAGCATATTCCCCAACCGTGTTCCCGCTGCGGCACGCACTCAAGCGTAGTGAACAGCAGCTACTTTCGGCTGCATAATCAATCGCGAGTGCTTCTGCAGTCCACGATGATGCGAGCACTCTATATACGGTTACTCGCTGCCGCGGTCGCGACGTCACTGCACGCTGGCATTTCTGGGCGGGAAGAGCCACAAGGACAGCACGCTTCCAACACCTCTAACCCCCAGTCACGGAGTGGAATCATTTGTAGCGCGGGCCTGTCTGATGGCCTGATCAATGAGAAGGGTGGACGCAAGTCCAAAAGCCTTTTTTTATATCCCATATGCGAAATAACGAAGCATGAACAATAGGAATCAAGAAACACCACGAGACAAACAATGTAAATTTCGATTTAAAGCTTTCGTGACTGCAATGATTCATCTTCTTTGGTTCTTTCGGTAAAGTCACGTAGAATGATAATAAAATAATAAATTGATAAAATAAAATAACACAATAATATTCTCACGACGTTTCGGCCACAACACAAGCGGCCTTCATCAGGTGAAGGGGGCGAGACTGTCTGGTAGGACAGCGCTGGAGTGAAAGAGCCACGTTCAGATACGGCCTTTAAGCTGTGTGAGAGGAACAAAGCGCCTTGACAAAGGAATTAGCATATAATTTAGCATTGAAATGGCTGAATGATTAGCTTGTGACTGGTCACAGAAATAGCTATGTTAAAAGTTAAAGCATACACACCCGCAGAGGCACCCATTGTTAAAGGGATTAGCATAGAATTTAGCATTGAAATAGCTAAGTTAAGGCATACACATCTTGACAATGGAATTAGCATAGAATTTAGCATTGAGATAGCTGAGTGATTAGCTTGTACCTGCTGCAGAAATAGAGCTTGAGATAGCTGAGTGATTAGCTTGTACCTGCTGCAGAAATAGAGCTTGTACCTGCTGCAGGTACAAGCTAATCACTCAGCTATCTCAATGCTAAATTCTATGCTAATTCCATTGTCAAGATGTGTATGCCTTAACTTAGCTATTTCAATGCTAAATTCTATGCTAATCCCTTTAACAATGGGTGCCTCTGCGGGTGTGTATGCTTTAACTTTTAACATAGCTATTTCTGTGACCAGTCACAAGCTAATCATTCAGCCATTTCAATGCTAAATTATATGCTAATTCCTTTGTCAAGGCGCTTTGTTCCTCTCACACAGCTTAAAGGCCGTATCTGAACGTGGCTCTTTCACTCCAGCGCAGACCTACCAGACAGTCTCGCCCCCTTCACCTGATGAAGGCCGCTTGTGTTGTGGCCGAAACGTCGTGAGAATATTATTGTGTTATTTTATTTTATCAATTTATTATTTTATTATCATTCTACGTGACTTTACCGAAAGAACCAAAGAAGACAAACAATGTACATCAAGCCTATCTATACGAGAGAGAGAGCATCAACACTCCGGTATTTGTAAAGTCGCCTGCTCTTCTGTGAGTCCACACAGAAGGACAGTGGAACAACTTATATTGGAACACCGCGGTGGCGAGATATACATTTTACCTCGCCTGGTATACTGTACAGGAGGTCGTGGTTTCGATCCCGACACTGACGCCCGTATATTTGGAGTTTGCATGTCTCTCTCCTTGTGGTCACGCGGATTTCCCCCCCGGGTTTTTCCCTCCACATTTAGAAACACGCGTTTAGAGTATTTGGCTGCTATACATTTCCATGCAATAAACCACCTCGTTAAAATATCATTTGTGGCCATGTCGCTCCTGAAAAAGAGCCACGTAGCTCAGTGGGCCTTACCTGGTCAAATTAAATATTCTTTGGAGCAGTCTCTGTAACTCGGACGTAGCTACAAATGCAGCCCACATTTTGCAAGAGTGGGATGGGTCTTTTGGCGTACCGAAGATGAGCAGCTAGGGCCACGGCCATCAGAGTTAAGACATTTAAATTTTAGATTTTTATTGACCTATAGTTTATAATAATAAGAAACTGTATGTAGCTAATAAGAAACTGTATGTCTAAGCGCGTGGCAGAATTAACGAAATATTGTTCTCATTTTGTACTCCAATTCCCGTACGGTACCCGTGGTCGCTTTGGCACGGTAAATGTGGGTTGGAAACATCATGAGCTCCGACTCAGAGTGTATGTGGCTTTACGCGCCCTGCCATCGATCACGCTATGGATGATGGTGCCCGGCGGTGGCAATTTCGATAAACGGGAGGGAAGGCAGCGTTGGCCGCAGCCCTCTTGAAGTCCTCCGGCACGAGCTTATGGGCCCCTGACGATGCTCTCAGCAGTCACCACCTCATCCACCTCCCCTTCAGCCTCTCATTGGCTTCTACTCCACGGCGCGCGAGCCTGTCCTCAGGCGCTAAATATCTCAAGGCTTCTCTTTCCTTGAGAAAAGACCTCGGCGCGTCTCTGCTTAATACGGCCGCTCCAGTCTCCTCCAATTTTTCCTTTCCCTGTGACCAGGTACTCAATGTGGGTCGTACCATTTCCATGCCCTTCATTGGGGGTGTTTCATGGGTCAAATCACAGTTCCCCCTATTGTACACTCAATACCGACACAATATTCGCAATAACCATTTTTTTTTATTACATCGCATTTCGCCATTCCGCCACGCCCTCGTGATTACCAAAGGAGGGTTCCTCCGGTGCCGGAGCGTCAAAAGAAATCTGCGAGGCTTGGCACCCCCACCAATCAAACAGCCGACGCCTTCCCTCCCATTCATCGACGCTGGCGCATGACTATCCATAGCGTGATCGACTGCAAAGGGGCGTAGAGCAACACGCGTGCCAGTCTGAACCCCGCAATTTGTCCGACCCACATTTACCAGGCCAAAAGCGAACTCTTTGGGGCCACCGTGCGGGCATTGGGAGTACGAAACGACAACAACATTTCGACAATTCTGCCACGTGGCTAGACGTGCAGCTCCTTATTAGTTTGAGGGCTCTTTATGCGTCAACAAAAATGGAGAATTTTTGCAATTTTATTTAGATGGCTATAGCTCCCTAGCTGTAGCTCGTCCGAGTGCAAAAAATAAGAGGGGTCGGGGGGGGGGGGTTCTGGCAGGCGGGGGCACTAAGTGCCTGCCCCTCAACGCTTTACCCGGAGGAAATTGCTAAAAATGCGAATCAGTAACATTGCAACAAGCGGGCACCCGCGCTGGGACGTAGAAGGGAAAAATAAAACGTAGCTAGAAACAGTGAACGCACGGCAAGGATGGAAGTGTGTGCGTCTGTGTGCGGAGCAGTACCGGGCCACTCACCGGCCAGGCCCGGCCGCAGGCGGTAGTCGTAACCCTTGAGTAGAACATCCAGGATGTTGGTGTAAAGGGTGATGTTGGTCTCGGATGGGGTTTTCAACGTCTGACCCTGCACTCTGCTGCAACGGGAAGACAAGTATGGAGACGGACGACAGGCAGTGAACGGGCATGCGAGGGATGAGCGGCAAACGTGACGACGACAATGGAGCCGCTCGCATTGCGCCCGGGCGTCTCAGAGCACTTTTGTGATTAGCGATTTACGTCTCAGATCTCAACTCAAAAATATTGAGAAGGGCACCTCCGGTGTCAGCTGTTCTTCCTGCGAACGCATTGCTGACTTGCCACCTTTCCTGCAAGCGGCCATCAGCCTGCCAGTAGGGAGCAATAGCTGCTACGTGCAGTCCCCATCGAGAGGTTTGTTGTGATCTTTCTAATTTGCAAACGTGGATGATGACGCGGGCACTCGATTGCCTACCCGTAACGAATGACGTCACGGGATCTTGACGGTCTATTGTCAAAGAGATGCCACTTGTTTTATGGTGAACTGGCAGCCAGCGAACCAGCCAGCCAGGCAGCCGGCGAGCCGGCAAGCCAGCAAAACAAGCCAGCCAGCGAACCAGCCAGCCAGGCCGCCAACGAACCAGCCAGTCAGGCAGCCAGTGAGCCGGCAAGCCAGCAAAACAAACCAGCAAGCGAACCAGCCAGCCAGGCCGCCAATGAACCAGCCAGTCAGGCAGCCAGCGAGCTGGCAAGCCACCAAAACAAGCCAGCAAGTCATCTATTCAAATGTAGCTAATTTTGTGCTGCGGTTGCGAATGGCTGCATTGCGCTATAATTAATCATCATCATGATAACAATTCAGCACATTTAGTATTTGCCTCATTCTAATTGTGCAAGGCTATCATAAAGGAAGGCGGTGTTTGGTTTCACGGTCTGCAGTAGTTTCACAGTCGGGGCCAGGTTGCTACGTGTAATCCCAATTGAGTAATTTGCAACGTTTTTTTATATTTTAGGAAATTTGAACCGTGACGCTGGCACACGATGGCGAATGGCATCACAGGATTCTTGATGTCCACTGTGAACGAAAAAAAGGTGCGTAGTATTCCTAGAGTTAATACTCATTGCCTTCAGCATTCGAACTCTGAACCTCTGCAACAAGCGGCGAACGTGTCGCCATCGTTGCCATTGGTTGTAAATGATTGTGAATGACTGCATTGTGCAAACTGTAATCGTCGTCATCATCGTGGCCACCATTGCCACCATCGTAATCATCACCAGAAGGCTGCAAGAGCACGTGAGCAGTCCCCCGTCGCGCACACACGCTGAGTGAACGTGTAAACGTAAATGACGGCAGACTTCTAAAAATATAAATTGCATAGCACCCTTTGCAAGCGTGGAGTCATTTTTTTAAGCATGCAGATGAGCAGCAAACCCGCACGTATAACACCTCTCCAGGTTGTATCATCATTATGACGATGTCTACTCAGGAAAACCTCACCGTGTGAAGTGGTCAGGTCGCTTCTGAAAAATAAATTAATACCTCAGTGGGCTTTGCCTGATAGGATGAGGATGGTTTATTTATATTTTTTGTGTAGCATTTGGGTGATTTACTTACCTCTTTTGTACTTTGCACTACATTCCAATTTAGGAATGTCACAGGCAACTTTCCACCATTGGGATGTATGTGCCCATCTGCATTCGTGCGTGCTTTTGTGTGATTCACTCATTTGTCTTTCTCTATGTGCATGCTTGTATTCGTAGACGCATTCATGTATGCATGCGTGTCAGCATATGTGTGCCTGTGGAGAGCGGTAGTTGTAGCGGTTAGCGCATTGCTCTACAAACACGGCGATCTGAGTTCGATGAACGCTCACGGCCAACACCAGCAACAAATATCTGAACCGGTCCTGGCTTCCCCTAGGTCGACTCAGCCTCAAATGAGTATCTGGTGCAGTGTGTAAACATTGCCACTGGAGAGACAAAGGCGGTCGGGTGTGGTGCTGGCCACCCACCCCCTCGTGTGCTGTGCCGGCCTTCATAGCTGCTCGCAAATAGCACTTGCCCCAAAAGTTTTCTTAGGCTATACGGGGATCTTTGTCTTTGTCTGTGATTACGTGCATCTATCGGTGCATATATATGTGTGTATGTGTGCACATTCATGCATGCGTGTGTGCACATTCATGCATGCGTGCATGCATTGTGAACCCAGCCACATGCACACACACACACAGGTTCACATGTGTGTTGTGTCTATAATTGTATTTGTGTATGCACTGTGTGCATGCGTGCATTCCAGCGTGTATATATTATGAACCTGGCCTCCAGTAGACACTCTTCCAATATAAAAATAAAGATCCCCCGTACAGCTTTTTACAGGCTGTTGGGGCAAGTGCTGTTAGCGGGCACCTTATAAGGCGGGCACGGCGCATGATGGAGTGGTGCGGTTAGCACCACGCACGGTTGCATTTTATTCCCCTGTGCTGATGTATATACAGCTGAGTCAACCTAGGCGGGAGGCCCAGGACCGGTTCAGATAGTCGTCACCGGTATTATCAGTGGCCGTGAGCGGGAATCGAACCAGGGTCACATCCACGTCCGTGGCTCAGCGCCGTTAACCGCCGAGCCACCGCTCATCCGTGATTCATCCGGCATAAATATAGATTATGGTTATGAACCGGCGTTCGCACACACATAATGCGTGCGGCGGTGGTGGTTTGCACGTGCGAGGGGACAACGCCCACGGACGAAGCTCCCGGGGCGGCGTACCGTGTTATTATCGCGGCGAGGCAGACGCAGATGAAGATGGATGGGAGGCCTCGGGCAGCGAGAGCGAGCACTCGCGAGGCTGCAGCCATCATCGCAGAGGTTGCTCGGTTCAAGACTTCGTCCCAACGCGCCTGCCAACAACAACAAAATACACGAGCGGACATATTCATGAACAGCGCACCGTAAAATTGGTAGGCGCTCCGAAGAAAAACACATCAAGGTTGTAGGTCTTGTGAGAAGGACAACATCGACTCAGAGCGTGAAGTGAATACAACAACGTGCGGCGGGAAAAAAGCGATTGACGCTTAACGGTGCGGATTATGTAACGATTTGCAGCGGTACGTTTTGTTCTTTGCAAATATTCAATGTGAATGTTGCGAGTTCAAATCCTGGTTCGGGTTGACCCAGCCCATCATCCCGCCTCTATGGTTAATGAAAGGAGTACCACTTTGTGGGGAAATCAATAACGGTTATCCTATGGATAGACCCGCCATTGGCTCAGGGCTTTAAACAGGAAATCAGCACCAATGCCACAATGCTCATTTGAGCGGGAACTCAGTTTGACTCGATTGTCGAGGATGGAACTCTGCTCCATGATAGAGGTTTTTTGGGTTAGATTGCGTCAATATAAATGCGTCGTTAAACCTGCCACCACCCGACACAGCCAATTAGTGACGTTTGTCACGTAAACAAAACGTGCCAATTAGCTCCTCGTTCTACACACCGGCATGTTGGAGAGTAAACCCACAACATTTACCATTCGAGGGCGACATTTTGCCAGTAATTAAGTCCGCTTCATTTGACTACGTTTTCAGAAAAGTCGAGCAAAAATGTGTCACGTCTCATGTTTCCAATTCCACTTTTCAATGCTGTTTTTTCCATCTCCGGGTGGCCAGGAACAAAACGTCACGATCAAAGGGGTAATTGATGGCGGTTACACATTTCTTGGATTGAGCGAGGCTATAACATCTTGGGGAAGGCGCTGACGGGATGGAAATCAAATGTTCACCAGTGTTGCGGAAGAGGTTAGAAAGATGAGTGTGTTCGGGGGTTAAGTGGCTGAGTGAGTTGAGTGAGTGAGTCAGCGGGCGTGTTGTTCGTGAGCGGTGGTGTAAAGGTTGGGGCTACGCTGCGTTACGCAGCGCAGCGCCAACCCGTAGTTCGACTTCTTCTCACGGCCAACACCGGCAACGATTATCTGAACCGGTCCTGGGCCTCCCCTACGTCGACTCAGCCGATGTGTAAACATCACGACTAGGCAGACAAAGGCGACCGAGATGGTGCAGGCCACATCATCCCCTCATGTACCATGCCAGCCTTTATATATGCTTGCTCACAGTACTTGCCGCCAAAGTCTGTTCAGGCCACAGGGGGATCTTTGTCTTTGTTGTGTTGTTGTGGCCTGCAGTGTGGTGGTTGAACATAGTGCAGATGAGACGAGAAGATCAATCTGGTAGACCGAGTCCTCTACATTTGTGGAGGAATCATTGAGTGAAGTTCATGAGAACGGTGACCATGGAAGTAGCAATGGAGGAGTGATAAGGAGGCGACTGAGCGCCAATGAGTGAGTGACTGGAGTGAGTCAGTCAGTGCTCGATCATAAACCAACCCAAGTGCTCTGTGTTCAATTTTATTATGGAGATGAATACTTAATGATGGTAGCTACACAAAAATTAAAAGATATCCCACCAACAACCTCGCTACAAAAACAAACAGTATCACCACTGATTCAGCTTCATTAATTGAACAGACCAAACGGTTTTCCTTAAAACCTTCTGCTGCTAGACCACCCAGATTATATGGCTTACTAAAAATCCATAAAGAAGGTACACCCCTTCGTCCCATCGTCTCCACCACTGGCTCACCCACCTACAAACTGGCCCGATATCTGTCTGAGACCTTACAGCCATTCACTGGAAAGACCACCTCTTCTGTTCTTAACTCAGCTCACCTGGTATTGTCAATTAAAGACATATCACTGTCCCCAGGTGATTTACTCGTCAGTTTCGATGTAGTTTGTTTGTTCACCAAAGTTCCTGTGCCCGATACTATTGCAATAATTGAAGATTTGGTCGAACAAGGATTGAATGCTAATATACCGGCCCTGGTGAGACACTGCCTCACGGAATGGAACATTCTACAAACAAACTGAAGGCACCCCAATGGGTTCTCCCTTATCTCCAGTTGTAGCCAATATTTTCATGGAAAAATTTGAGACGGACGCCATCCAGGCATCCACTCTACGCCCGTCCTTGTGGAAGAGGTACGTGGATGACACGTTTGTCACCTGGCCACATGGTCGACCGGCTCTGAAACAATTCCTCAACCACATCAATTCCATTCACCGAGCAATCAAATTCACCATGGAGATAGAAAAGGATGGCATGCAGCCTTTCTTGGATGTTTTAATGAAAAAGAGATCAGATGGCTCAATGAGCCATTCTGTCTGCAGGAAAGTAACCCATACTGACGCCTACCTAAAACCTGATTCCCACCACCACCCATCCCAGAAGAATTCCCTCATAAAAACGCTACACCATAGAGCTCAATCTATCTCCGACCATGAACACCTGACCAGTGAACTCACACACGTACACCAAGCTCTCAAGGCGAATGGATATTCTGGCTACACAATCCGCAAAGCCATCACCCCAACCGTGAGGAAGGAGCCATCTGAGGATCCAATCAAAACCATCACCCTGTCATACATAGCAGGGGTAACCAAAAAGATTTCCAAAATCATGAACAAACACAAGATCCAGGTCCGATTTAACACAGTACATAAAATTCGTGATCTGATCCCATCTGTGAAGGACAAGTTTCATTTCATTTCAGTTTCATTTATTTGGTATAGCCCTGTGAGCCATTCGGCTCTTGAATCGGGTGCAACCGCAACAAACAAAAACATGAACAAGAAAACATCTTAAAGTGACTACGCGCAAACAGAAAAATCCAGGAAAAAACAGCAAAGTCTTCCAAAGCCTTCCAAGACAAGACAAGATTCTTGACATGCAATATTCCGGCGTCTACAAACTAAGCTGTATCTGCGACTGCATTTACGTCGAGGAAACTAAGCGACATTTCTCGGACCGTGTTCGTGAGCATAAGGCAGATTTGAAACATGGTAGGACCAATACTACTGCCGTGGCTGATCATTATTTTAATGCGGCTGGCTAACACGAAATTGATTTCTCTAAGACGATGGTGCTTTGCAAACCTACTGGCTATCAACAAAGATTCGTTCATGAAGACATCCATATATACAAACAGATACAATTTCAACCGAGAGGAAGGCTGTAGACTCAGCAATCATTGGAAAGATGCCATCAACCACTTTGGGTCATGACTTGACTTGTGTTTGTTTGTCAATCAACCTCCACCGTCAGCAGTGTAGTGTGTGGAGAGGGGTGCAGTGATTTCCTGGCTGCCCTTTGCTGCATTGTTGCTACATTGGCATTGCTGCTACATTGACATTGTTGCTGCATTGACATTGCTGCTGCATTGGCATTGCTGCTATATTGACATTGCTGCTGCATTGGCATTGCTGCTACATTGGCATTGTTACTGCATTGGCATTGCTGCTGCATTGGCATTGCTGCTGCATTGACATTGTTGCTACATTGGCATTGCTGCTACATTGACATTGCTGCTGCATTGGCATTGTTACTGCATTGGCATTGCTGCTGCATTGCCATTGCTGCTACATTAGCATTGCTGTTGCATTGGCATTGTTACTGCATTGGTATTGCTGCTACATTGGCATTGCTGTTGCATTCGCATTGCTGCTGCATTGGCATTGCTGCTACATTGGCATTGCTGCTGCATTGGCATTGCTGCTACATTGGCATTGCTGCTGCATTGACATTGCTGCTGCATTGGCATTGCTGCTACATTGGCATTGCTGCTACATTGGCATTGCTGCTACATTGACATTGTTACTGCATTGACATTGCTGCTGCATTGACATTGCTGCTGCATTGGCATTGCTGGTACATTGGCATTGCTGCTGCATTGGCATTGCTGCTACATTGGCATTGCTGCTGCATTGGCATTGCTGCTCTCCCAAACTGCTGGTGCTGCTGACATACTTGGGCTATGCCCATCTCCAAACCTTTATAAACAGTTTGCCTTTAGAGGATAACGCCTTTTCCTGATGACGACCGCATGTGTTGCGATCGAAACGTCGTGATGTTTGTATTCACTTTATAATTTTTTCTATCTACGTAACTTTACCGAAACAACCAAAGAAGATGATAATAATGGACGTGCCCCTCCAAGAAAATATCTCTCTGATTGCGAACAGGGCAGGGATTTAGTCACTTTGTCAAATTAATGTATTATGGATGCAGCATGTTATTGTTATTATTATTAATAATTTATTTATTCTTGTTTATCCAGGAAAGCCTCACTACTTGTTTTAGGATGGTCCTACCGAGTGTTTTGCAGTCAGGGGGCTTTGTTGCAATGTGCAAATCCCAATTGAGTAATTCGCAAGGGAATTAAATTTTTTGGAAATTGGGATGGTTTTTTTAAGCCCAATACCAGTTAAGAGTTGTAGGTTTTCTTTAGCTTATGGGAGGAGGAAACCAGAAGAACCCGGAGGAAACCCATGAAAAACAGGGGGGGGGGGGGGAGAGAATAGACAAACTGCACACGTCATATCCAACACGGTGGCATACAGCACAGGATCGACAAAGCTCGATTATTGCAACTCAGTACTCTACGGGACGTCTGCCGAAAATATTACCAAGCTGCAGCATGTCGAAAACTCTTTAGCCCGTGTCGTGAGTGGCACTGAAAGATCAGACCGTGCCCGTGCAGTGCTCGCTGAGCTGCATTGACTTCTGGTTGCTGGTCGGATACATTATCAAGAGGCACTCGTTACACACAAAGTGCTTACCACAAATGAACCACAATAACTTGCTGATCTCGTCAAGGAACATAAACCATCATCACGTGAACTCTGCTCATCCTCGCAGCGGCTTTTGGCTAGTCATGGAACAAAGACGGTGGTCACCGCATCGTGCACTGTCAGATGCGCTTCTGCGGCCGTCTGGAACGCTCTTCCTTCCGATATTAGGAAACCACTGCAACTATGCACTTTTCAACATAGAATGAAATCGTATTTATT